GTAAACCTAACCTACAAACTGTAACCCAAACCTGCACACACTAACTCTAACCTACACACTCTAATACCTAACCTGCACACTGTAACTCTATCCAACAAACTGTAACATTAACCCACACACTGTAACTCACACCTGCACAATATAACTCCAACCTGCACACCGTAACTCAAGCCTACACTATATAACCCTATCCTACACATTGCAACACAAATTTACCCAACGTAATCCTAATTTACCCACTATAACTCCAACCTACACAATGTCCCCCTAACCTGCACACTGTAACCCTAACTTGCACACTGTAACCCTAACTTGCACACTGTAACCTTAACCTACATGCTGTAAACCTAACCTACACACTGTTATGCTTACCTATGTACTGTAACTCTAATCTACACATTATAACCCTAACCTACAGACTGTAACCCCAACCTGCACACTGTATCTCAAGCCTACAATAGATAACCCTACCCTACACATGAAAACACAAACCTACCCAATGTAAACCCTAACTTACCCACTATAACTCTAAATTACACAATGTCACCCTAAATACACACTGTAGCCATAACTACAGAATATAACCCCAATTTACAGAGTGTAACCCTAACCTACACACTGTCACTCTAAACCACACACTATAACCCTAAACTAGACACTGTAACACTAAAGTACACACTGTAACCCTAACTTAAACAATGTAATGTGGGTTCTCCTGATATGGATCTAAATAAAATATTACAAGCATTGAACAAGTGCAAATGCTTGCTGCGCGTTATAATTTCAGGCAGTGTGCTTGAAAAGCCTGATGTTCAACTGTGGTTGAAAAATTATTTTATATGCAGAAAGCATATTTACGATGAAGCAGAAAATCCTTTTTGGAAGCCTTTGTTCACACTAATGTATATTGATTATTTGCAGAAAAAAGGTATTGCACCAGGCATATTGAGTTACAAGAACACTTTCACAAGTTAGAAGATGCCACAGATCAGTCAGGGTTGTCTGTTTATTCTTGAAATTAATTAAGAGTTTGGGTAATAAATCTGCAGGTAGAAAGGGTTCAAATTATAAACCATTCCCATGTACTGTAGTTTATCATTGTTGTGCTTCAGAGAGGAAGGAAGGATATTTGGATCCATGGTCACAATAATCTGAGTCCTGTAGCTCAGTGGTTAGAGCACTCGCTTTGCAAGTGAGAGACCTGAGTTCAATTCCAGGCAGAGGGCCAAACCTTGGGCAAGTTTCCTTACTCCACACAGAGCCTAACAATAATCCCTCCAAAACCAAAAACAATAATAAATTGGTCATTTTCAATCTACGACTGTTTGTGGGACATTGCTGTGCATAATTGGCTGCCGCATTCACCCACAAATATACAGTCAATTCACTTTACAGTGTGTTCTGTGAAGCACTTTGGGATGTCCTCCCGGTGTGAAAAGCACTATATCAAATGCGAGGATTATTATTATGATTATTATAACCTCAACCTACACACTATTACCTAACTTACACATTGTATCTCAAACCTACAAAATGTAACCCTAACCTACAGACTGTAACTCTAATCTATACACTGTAACTCTAACCTACACACTGTAACCCTATCCTACACACTGTAACTCTAAGCTACACACTGTAACTCTAACCTACACACTGTAACTCTAACCTACACACTGTAACTCAAACCTACACATTGTAACTCTAACCTAAACACTGTAACTCTAACCTACACACTGTAACTATAACCTACACACTGTAATTCTAATCTACAGACTGTAACTCTAACCTACACACTGTAACTCAAACCTACACATTGTAACTCTAACCTAAACACTGTAACTCTAACCTACACACTGTAACTATAACCTACACACTGTAATTCTAATCTACACACTGTAAATCTAACCTACACACTGTAACCCAATCCTACACACTGTAACCCTATCCTACACACTGTAACTCTAATCTACACACTGTAACTCTAACCTACACACTGTAACCCAATCCTACACACTGTAACTCTAAACTACACACTGTAACATTAACCTACAAACTATAATCCAATCCAAGGATTATTATTATTATTACACACTGTAACTCTAACCTACACACTGTAACCCTATCCTACAAACTGTAACTCTAACCTACACACTGTAACCCTATCCTACACACTGTAACTCTAACCTACACATTGTATCTCAAACCTACAAAATGTAACCCTAACCTACACACTGTAACTCTAATCTACACACTGTAACTCTAACCTACACACTGTAACTCTAACCTACACACTGTAACTCTAACCTACACACTGTAACTATAACCTACACACTGTAATTCTAATCTACACACTGTAACTCTAACCTACACACTGTAACCCAATCCTACACACTGTAACCCTATCCTACACACTGTAACTCTAATCTACACACTGTAACTCTAACCTACACACTGTAACTCTAACCTACACACTGTAACCCAATCCTACACACTGTAACTCTGACCTAAACACTGTAACTCTAATCTACACACTGTAACTCTAACCTACACACTGTAACCCAATCCTACACACTGTAACTCTAATCTACACACTGTAACTCTAACCTACACACTGTAACTCTAACCTACACACTGTAATTCTAATCTACACACTGTAACTCTAACCTACACACTGTAACCCAATCCTACACACTGTAACCCTATCCTACACACTGTAACTCTAATTTACACACTGTAACTCTAACCTACACACTGGAACTCTAACCTACACACTGTAACTCTAATCTACACACTGTAACTCTAACCTACACACTGTAACCCAATCCTACATACTGTAACTCTAAACTACACACTGTAACATTAACCTACAAACTGTAATCCAATCCTACACACTGTAACCCTAACCTACACACTGTAACCCTATCCTACAAACTGTAACACTAACCTACAAACTGTAATCCAATCCTACACACTGTAACCCTAACCTACACACTGTAACCCTATCCTACAAACTGTAACTCTAACCTACACACTGTAACCCTATCCTACACAATGTAACTCTAATCTACACACTGTAACTCTAACCTACACATTGTAACGCTATCCTACACACTGTAACTCTAACCTACACACTGTAACCCTATCCTACACACTGTAACACTAACCTACACACTGTAACCCTATCCTACACACTGTAACTCTAACCTACACATTGTAACTCTAACCTACACACTGTAACACTAACCTACACACTGTAACCCTATACGACACACTGTAACTCTAACCTACAAACTGTAACCTTATCCTACACATTGTAACTCTAATCTACACACTGTAACTCTAACCTACACACTGTAACTCTAATCAACACACTGCAACACTAACCTACACACTGTATCCCTATCCTACACACTGTAACTCTGACCTACACACTGTAACTCTAATCTACACACTGTAACCCTATCCTACACACTGTAACTCTAATCTACACACTGTAACTCTAACCTACACACTGTAACCCTATCCTACACATTGTAACTCTAATCTACACACTGTAACTCTAACCTACACATTGTAACTGTAATCTACACACTGTAACACTAACCTACACACTGTAACCCTATCCTAAACATTGTAACTCTAATCTACACACTGTAACTCTAACCTACACATTGTAACTCTAATCTACACACTGTAACTCTAACCTACACACCGTAACCCTATCCTACACATTGTAACTGTAATCTACACACTGTAACCCTATCCTACACATTGTAACTCTAATCTACACACTGTAACACTAACCTACACACTGTAACCCTATCCTACACATTGTAACTCTAATCTACACACTGTAACTCTAACCTACACATTGTAACTAATCTACACACTGTAACACTAACCTGCACACTGTAACTCTACCCTACACACTGTAACACTATCCTACACACTGTAACTCTAATCGACACACTGTAACCCTATACCACACACTGTAACCCTACACTACACACTGTAACCCTATACTACACACTTACCCCTAGACTACACACTGTAACTCTACACTTCACACTGTAACCCTATACTACGCACTTACCCCTAGACTACACACTATAACCCTAAGCTACACACTGTAACCCTATACTACACACTGTAACCCATGTCACTGTGCCTCAGTCTATCCCCACCCCCTAATCCTCACCTGCAGCTTGAGCCCATCCCCCTTTGCGCCTCCCCTAGCCTGAACCCCTCTCTCAGCCTAATCCCCTTCCCCAATGCCAGCAGTGACAGCCTGAGGCCCTTTGCCCCTGAGATAAAAGGCAGCGTGTCGCCTATATCACCCATTGCCCCCTCTGTGACAATATATAACCATATGGCCCCTGAACCCATTCGCATTGGGCTGAAATTGACCTACTGTTCCAAAGGTGAAAGGTCACCAGGCTATCCATTGTGGCATCCTACAGCTTAGTAGTTAGAGCAATCACCTCGCAAGTGAGAGGATCTGGGCTCGATTCCTAGGCAGTGTGAAACCTCATGAAAATTTCCTTACCCCACACAAATGACACTGTTTATCTAGCAGTAAGTAGGAACCTGCTTGTTAGTCGATTGGTGGATCACTTTTCAACAACAACAACAACAACAAGATTCCATTTATTGAGCGCCTTTCACGTCGGGAGGATGTGAAAGGGTAATAGCCAGGGTAATATTCCAGGGTAATTTCCAGGGTAATATTCCCTTCAAAATAAATTTGTAAGTAATAATAATATTTTGGTCACTGAATCCATGAGTCTTTGTGGGACGCTGCTGTGCGCAATTGGCTGCTGCGTTTCACCCACAAAGGATGCAGTCAATTCACTTTATAGTATGTTCTGTGAAGCAAGACATCTCAAAGTCATGATAAGGTGCTCCATCAAGGATTATTATTAGTATCATTATCACCAAACAACACAGCATCACCACACGCCATCCACATGCTCAGGCTGAGGAACAAGAAAGGTTCTTACAGGAGACTGTGGTTGGGATCAGCTCTGGCTCCAAGTCTGGGGAGGGAATGTGCCAGGATTCTCTCAGGGTGAAGCTCTTCCTAGTGCTGGTAAGGGGTGAGCAGGAGACAGTACAGATGGACAACACAGCCAGCAACCCAGGCTTCCACAACTTCATCTTAAACTTCTGGTTAATGAGCAACCTTCATGGGGACACAAAAACGCAGGGATTCAGAGCAAGCAGACAGCAAGAGGGAGCTGGTCTGACATTCAGAGCAACCACAACAACATCTTGCATTTACACAGCTCACCTCACACAGGGTAGCATCTCTGAGTGCTTAACAGTGGTGGAGCATGATGCTGAGCCAGGGGAACGGGGAGGTGACCATAGGTATGGTCGAAGAGGAAGTTTTCAGGCATGACCTGAAAATGGGAAAGGAAGGGGCAAGGCAGAGGGTTTGAGGAAGAGAGTTCCAGAGTTTCGGGCCAGAGTGGCTGAAAACACAGCCACCGATGGTGGAACAAAGGACATGAGGGACATGTAGGATCCCAAAACCGGTTAAGCAGAGGCAGTGTGTTGTGGAGTTGTTTGGGGAGGGGGCTAAGCAGGTCGGAGAGGTAGGGTGGTGCCAGGGCATGAAGGGATTTGAAGACTATTGAGAGGATTCCAGTGTGTAAGAGCAAGGTCTTGCTCCAGGGTGAGGGAAACAAACATACCATTGGCTTAAATATGAGACAAGGGAGAGAAGAAAAAGATATCAAGGCGAAGAGCAATCAACTGCATAAGGGAACATACAGAGAGATAAAGGACTAAACCCAGATTAGCAGATCAGAAAGCGGATCAGTAAAGGGAAATATTTCACTTTGATGAGAGAGTGTGAATTACCACATCAGTCACAAAGGCCAATGGATGAAAAATTAGATAAATACCTGAATTTCAATGGACACCTCTGATAATAAAAAATAAATCTGCAATATATATAAGAAGCCAGAAAGAAGTGAGATGCACACACAAACACATACTTAGTGGTTAGAGCTCTGCCTCGCAAGCGAGAGGACCTGGGTTTGATTCCCGGCAGGGCAAAACTTTGGGCAAGTTTCCTTACTCCACATGCATCTGTTTATCTAGCAGTAAGTAGGAATCCAGTTGTTAGTCGAGTGGTGGATCTCTTTTCCAGGGGTAATAACCCCTTCAGTAAAAATAAATGATAATAATAATTTGGTCACTTAATCCATGATTGTGTGTGGGATACTGCTGTGCGCAATTAGCTGCCATGTTTCCTCCACAAAATATACAGGCAATTCATTTTACAGTATATTCTGTGAAGCTCTTTGAGATGCCTCGAAGACATGAAGACCTCACTGTCTGGAACCTTGGTGTCTTGTTTGAACTTCAATTATCCTTTCTACCCCACATCTGTGCCATGACTCGCTCTGCCTTCCCCACCTCCACAACATCACCCGGATCCACCACAGCCTCACTCCTCAGGCCATCAAGACCCTCATACACGCATTCATCACAACTAGCATCAACTGTGCCAACTCCCGGCTTGTCGGCCTTCCCAAGGGCTCGAGGGGAGTTCCACAGTTTCGGGGGGTAGTGGCTGAAGGCACGGCCGCCGATGGTGGAGCGGAGGATTCGGGGGACGCGGAGGAGGCCGGAGCCAGTGGAGAGGAGGCAGCAGGTACTGCTGTGGGGAGAGAGGAGGTTAGAGAGAAGGGGGGCAAGGAATGGAGGGTTTAAACACTAGAGTGAGGATCTGGAAGTGGATCCGCTCTGTGACCGGAGCCAGTGGGGTTTGGCCAGGACTGGAGTAATTGGGGACGGGGTTTGGTGCGGGTGCAAATGCGGGGGTTTGAATGAGCTGAATATTGTGAATAGTGGAGGAGGGGAGACCGACGAGGAGGGGGTTAAGAGTCATCCAACCGAGAGGTGACAAAGGCACAGACAAGGGTTTCGGCAGCTTTTGGGGTGAGGTAGTGTCAGAGATGGGAAATATGCCAGAGATGGGAGAAAGTGGGGCTGGTCAGGGACCGGATGTGTTGGAGGAATTGATTAAAGTATTGGTAGTGCGATATTCACGGGAGCACAATATAATTAGGCCAAGTCAACATGGCTTTACAAAAGGGAAGTCATGTTTGACAAACCTCATAAGAGATTTTTGAGGACATTTCCAGTAAACAAGATAAGGGTGAATCAGTGGATGTGGTCTGTTTGGACTTCCAGAAAGCATTCGATAAGGTGCCGCATAAAACGTTAGTCCAAAAGATAAGGGTCCATGGAATTGGGGGGAACATATTAACGTGAATTGGGAAATGGTTAACGGGTAGGAAATAAAGTTTCCTGTGGAGTCCTGTAGCTCAGTGGTTAGAGCACTCGCTTTGCAAATGAGAGACCTGAGTTCAATCCCAGGCACGTCAGGGCGAAACCTTGGGCAAGTTTCCTTACTCCACACAGAGCCTAATAATAGTCCCTCCAAAAAACAAAAAACAATAATAAATTGGTCATTTTCAATCTACGACTGTTTCTGGGACATTGCTGTGTGCAATTGGCTGCCGCGTTCGCCCACAAAAATATACAGTCAATTCACTTTACAGTGTGTTCTGTGAAGCGCTTTGGGACGTCCTCCTGACGTGAAAAGTGCTATATCAAATGCAAGGATTATTATTATTATTATTATTATTATTATAAAGAGTAGGGATAAACGGGTCCTTTTCGGATTGGCGGGATGTGACTAGTGGAGTGCCAGAAGGATCAGTCCTTGGGCAGTAGCTATTTACCATCTACATCAATGATCTTGATGAGGACATTGAAGTTAATATATCTAAATTCGCGGATGACACAAAACTAGGAGGAAGTGCCAACGCGGAGGACATTAAAAAATGCAGTGAGACATAGATAGGTTTGGTGATTGGGCAGGTAGGTGGCAGATGAAGTATAATGTAGGGAAGTGCGAAGTCATCCACCTCAGTAGCAAAAACAGTAGAGCGGGTTACTTTTTAGAAGGGGAGAGATTGGAAGGTGTTAGTGTCCAGAGGGACTTGGGTTCCTTGTACAACAATCACAGAAAGTTAGTTTGCGGTGCAGCAGCAATTAGGAAGGCGAACGGTATGTTAGCATTCATTATGAAAGGATTAGCGTATAAGAGTAGGGAAGTCTTACTGCAACTGTATAGGGCCCTGGTGAGACCACACCTGGAATACTGTGTGCAGCTTTGGTCTCCTTATTTAAGGAAGGATGTACTTGCCTTGGAGGGGGTGCAGAGTAGATTTACTAGGATAGTACCAGGGATGAAGGGGATGAGTTACGAGGATAGGCCGAACAATTTAGGCCTATATTCTCTAGAATATAGAAGAATTAGAGGGGATCTTATAGAAACCTATAAGATCATCAAAGGGCATAGAGTAGATAGTGGGAGATTGTGTCCCCCGGTTGGAGAAACTAAAACCAGGGGTCACAACCTTAAAATCAGAGGCAGCCCTTTCGCACTGAGTTAAGGAAGAACTTCTTCACTCAAAGGGCAGTGAATGTATGGAACTCACTACCCCAAAGGGCTGTTGACGCTCAGTCCTTGAACATATTCAAGACAGAGATAGATATGTTTCTTATTGCAAAAGGGATTAAGGGATATGGGGATAAGGCAGGGGGTTGGTGGGGGGAGGCTGGGGGAGGGGAGGCTGGGTGGGGGAGGCTGGGGGGGAGGCTGGGGAGTTGGGGGAGGCTGTTGGGGGAGCCTGGGGTGGGGTGGGGATATGGGATAAGGCAGGGTCAGATTATTAGCCGGAGTTAGATTAGAAGATCAGCCATGATTGAATGGCAGGGCGGGCTCGAGGGACCAAATGGCCTACTCCTGCTCCTACATGTTATGTTATGCTATGTTATGTTATGTTATGTTATGTTATGTTATGTTATGTTATGTTATGTTATGTTATGTTATGTTATGTTATGAAGGATAACTGGAGATCGAACCTGATGCCTAAGTTGCGCTCGGGTTCGGAGAGTTTTAAGGACAGGTCGGATAGGTTGAAGAGGTCGGGACTGTGGGACAGAAGATGTCGGCAGGAGCCAAAGTGTATGGCTTCCGTCTTTTTGATGTTTAACTGCAGGAAATTTGTGCTCATCCAGCTCCTGATGTCCGTCAGACAAGCTGACAGCACATCAGGGATTGGGAGTCACAGCTGGAGGGGGAAAAATGGAGTTGAGTGTCATTCGCATCCATGAGGAAGTTAACTCCGTATCTGCGGATGACATCACCGAGAGGGAGCATAGAAGGGGCCAAGGATGGATCCTTGGGGTATCTACTCCCCAGGTGACTGGGTGGAAGCTCCAAGAAAAGCCATTTACAGAAATGTAGCGCTGGTGGTTTGTGAGGTAGGACTCGAATCTCACTGAGGTGGGTGATGGAGGACAGGGTGGAGGAGGATGGCGTGATTGACTGTGTCAAACGTCCAGGAGCACGGGGAGGCAGAGGGAGCCATGGTCACATTATGAACAGGCGTTCTGAGCAGAGGGACAGAGAGCAAAAGAGAGCAGAGATATCGGAGAGGAAGGAGCCTGGGGGATTTGGGGGGACGGTGAACTAGGAAAATTTTGAGTGAGAGAGAGGAGGTGCTCAAATGAGGAGAAGCAGCCAGAGGAATAAAGTGATAGACCCAGGAAAGCTTGGGAAATGAAGGCTACCCCGTCCATTGGTGAGGGCAGGGGGGTGTGGTGGAAAGCGTAGCCAGGAGGGAAGGTTTCAACTAGGGGTACGGAGTCACTGGGGAAGAGCCAGGTTTTCGTAAGCCCAAAAATATCCATGTGCTCATCCAGGATGAGGTCATGGATAGTGAGGGCTTTATTGGAGAGGGAGCGGACATTTTGTAGGGAAATGTGGATAGGTTTGCTGGTCGGGATGGACGGAGGAGAGAGTGGTATGGAGAGGATTTGGGGTCTTGAGGGAGAAGTGACCAAGGAGTTTGAGGAGCAGGGAGAGCTGGGTAGGGTATGGCTGATGGCTGAGGAAGGGGAAGGCGTGTTTGCCTGTCGGAGGCAGTTGCTGCAGAGAGAGTGAGTAATGGGACAATTGGAGCAGCTGCTCTGAGACAACCAACGCCGGGAGCCACGATGGGCCCGGCAGAGGACGCCCAGTCTGAAGTAGTGGGAGGTAATGGTGGAGTCCAGGAGAGAGAGAAGGGGAGGAGGATGGTGGGAGGAGCAGATAGAGGGTGTAGGAGAAAGAGTATTTCAAGGGGGAGGGGGGAGGGTCGGGGCAGAGGCCAAAATGTGCAGAGACTGGGAGTGAGCGATCAGCACGACAGCATGAACCCGTGGCATCAGAAGACAGCATAGGCTGGCGAGGGGGAGAAGGGGGATGGCGGTCATGGCTTAGGTGCCAGAGACTGGGAGGGGAGAACAAGGCAGCGGAAGGATAATAGTATGGACTTACCCTACCCTGGCGGGTTTGAAACTGGTGTAACGAAGTGACATTACACTATACTTCCTGGCCTGATTTCAAAATGCTAACCCCATATCATCAGTGTCCATGTAAGTATCAACATTAGCATCAGCATCAATATCAGTCTCAATATCAGTCTCAGTGTCAGTATCAGGGTCAGTGTCAGTGTCAGTGTGAATATCAGTATCAGTATGAGTATCAGTATTAATATTAATGTCAGTATCAGTATCAATTTTAATGTCATTATCAGTGTCAGTATAAGTATGAGAATAAGTGTCAGTATCAGTGTCAATATCAGTGTCAGTCTCAGTGTCAGTATCAGTATCAATGTCAGTGTCAGTATCAATGTCAGTGTCAGTATCAGTGTCATTGTCAGTAACAATGTAAATGTCAGTATCGGTGATAGTATCTGTTTCAGTATCAGTATAATTGTCACTATCAATGTCAGTATTAGTATCACTGTCAGTGTCAGTATCAATGTCAGTGTCAGTATCAGTGTCATTGTCAGTAACAATGTAAATGTCAGTATCGGTGATAGTATCTGTTTCAGTATCAGTATAATTGTCACTATCAATGTCAGTATTAGTATCACTGTCAGTTTCAGTTTCAGTGTCAGTGTCAGGATCAGTGTCAGTATCAATGTCAGTATCAGTTTCAGTGTAAGTGTCAGTACCATTGTCAATATCAGTATCAGTAACAATATCAGTACCAGTATCAGTGTCAGTATCAGTATCTGTGTCAGTTTCAGTATCAGTGTCATTGTCAGTATCAATGTCAGTATAAGTATCACTGTCAATGTCTGTATCAATATAAGTGTCAGCGTCAGTATCAGTGTCAGGGTCAGTAACATTTTCAGTATCAATATTAGTTTCAGTATCACTGTCAGTGTTATTGTCAGTATCAGTGCCAATATCAGTGTCAGTATGATTGTCAGTATTAGTGTCAGTATCAGTGTCAGTGTATAAGTATCAGTGTCAGTGTCAGTGTCAATGTCAGTATCATTGTCGGATTCAGTATTAGTATCAGTGTTAATGTCAATGTCAGTATCAGTATCAGTGTCAGTGTCAGTATCAGTGTCAGTATCAGTGTCAGTATCAGTGTCAGTTTCAGTGTCAGTTTCAGTGTCAGTTTCAGTGTCATTGTCAGATTCAGTATTAGTATCAGTGTTAATGTCAATGTCAGTATCAGTGTCAGTATCAGTATCAGTGTCAGTATCAGTGTCAATGTCAGTATCAGTGTCAGTATCAGCGTCAGTGTCAATGTCAGTATCAGTGTCAGTATTCGTTTCAGTGTCAGTATCAATGTCTGTATCTGTGGCAGTGTCATTGTCAGTATCTGTGTCAATATAAGTGTCAGTATCAGTGTCTCTGTCAGTATCAATGTCAAGGTCAGTATCATTATTAGTATCAGTGTCAGTGTCAGCATCAGTGTCAGTATCAGTGTCTCTGTCAGTGTCAGTGTCACTATCAGTGTCAGATTCAATATTAGTATCAGTGTTAATGTCAATGTTAGTATCAGTGTCAGTATCAGTGTCAGTACTCGTTTCAGCGTCAGTATCAGTGTCAGTATCAATGTCTGTATCTATGACAGTGTCAATGTCAGTATCAATGTCAGTACCAGTGTTAGTTCCAGTGTCAGTATTATTATCAGACTCAGTATGAAAATCAATGTCAGTGTCAGCATCAGTATCAGCATCAGTATCAGTGTCAGTACTGGTATCAGTGTCAGTATCAGTGTCAGTATTAGTATCAGTGTCAGTATCAGTATCATTGTCAGTATCAGCGTCTGTATCAGTATCACTGTCAGTGTCAGTATCAATATCAATGACATTATCAGTGTTAGTGTCAGTATCAATGTCAGTGTCAGTGTCAGCTTCAGTGTCAGTATTAGTTTTAGTGTTAGTATCAGTGTCAGTATCAATGTCAGTGTCAGTATCAGTGTGGAGTATCATTGGCTCATACTCTGGATTGTCAGACATTCCTTATGCAGTCTATTTATTACCAGGAGAACTAACAGGAAGAGTGATAGCGATGATGAAGCTGCCAGGAGTAGTTACATTGTGTCTCACGTTGTGTTCACAGTTATGGAGACTGTTAGTATTAGGGTAAAATATCAGACTTGTTGTGTACCGTTAGCCTTGTTGGGCCAGTGCTGGCAACTCGTCGGGTTTCCCGCTTGAGCATTCCTGTAGCTGCTCCAGTCAGTCAGTCTGTGTCCTCCTCAGATTCAGTATAAACACAGAATACCAGCTACAAGGGGCCCAAGCCCCTCACACACTAAATACAAACCATTCCACATATGTTCTGCTGAAACTCTACAGCTGCCTTCTCATAATTGCAGGGCGTGTGCGCACACACACTCACACACAAACTTTCACACACACATACTTTCACACACACACGCACTCACAGACACACACTCACAGACACACTTTCACACACACACACACATGCTTACACATACTTTCACACACACACTTTCATACACAAACACACTCACACAAACTCACACACACTCACACATATAAATTCTTCACACACACTTACACACACATTCACATACTCACACCCACATGCTCATACATATACTCTCACACACATTCTCACACTCACTCACACACTTTCACATACACACTTTCACACACCCATATTCTCTCACACAGACACACACGCACTCACACAAACACATTCATATATTCACACTCACACACACTCTCTCACACATTCTCTTACATTCTCTCATACAAAAACACACTCTCTAACACACACTCTCCCACACACTCACTCTCACTCACACACTCACACTCTCAAACTCTCTCTCACACAAAAACACACACTCTCTCACACACACTATCTCTCCACACTCTCTCACTCACACACACTCACTCACAGACACACACTCTCACACAGTCATACTCACACTCTCTCACACACCACTCTCATATACACACACCCTTACACACCACTCTCACATAAACACGCACACTCACACACACATTCACATACTCCCACACCCACACTCTCACACACACTCTCTCTTACACAAAAACACACTTTCTAACACACACGCTCACACACTCACAAACACAGATACACACACAGACACACTCACACACACACTCTCAAAAACACACACACTCACACACACTCTGACACACACATTCACACACACACTCACACACACATTCACATTATCTCGCACACACATTCACACACTCTCACATACACTCACACACTGCACATTCACATACTCACACACATTATCACACACATACTCTCACACACACTCTCACACAAACACGCACACTCACACATTCTCACACACACATTTACATACTCACACACCCACACTTTCTCTCATACAAAAACACACACTCTCTAACACACATTCTCACACACACTTACACACACACTCACACACATACACACTCTCTCACACACTGTCACACACACACTCTCAAAAACACACACTCACACACACTCACACACTTTTGACACACATTCACACAAAAACGCACTCAAACGCACACTCTCACACACTCTCACACATTCTCTCACACACACAGTCTCACACACTTACACACACATTCTCACACACACACTCTCACACACACGCTTTCTCAAAAACACACACTCAAAAACACACACACACTTTCACACACACTCACACACATACACTTTCACACACACTCACACACATACACTATCACACACACTATCACATACACACCCACACACACTCTCACACACTCTCTCTCACACAAAAACACACTCACACATTCTCTCACACACAGTCTCACACACTCACACACACACACTCTCAAAACACACACTCTCAAAAACACACCCTCACACACACTCTCACACACACTCTCTCTCACACACACTCTCTCTCATACATTCTCTCACACACAAACACATTATCACTCTCACACTCACATGCACACACTCACGTGTACACACTCACACGCACTGTCACTCACTCACACTCATACACACACTCACACAGGTCTCGCACACACACCCACAGTCTCGCACACACACCCACAGTCTCGCACACTCACCCACAGTTTCACACACAGACCCACAGTCTCACACACAGACCCACAGTCTCACACACAGACCCACAGTCTCACACAGACCCACAGTCTCACACACAGACCCACAGTCTCACATACAGACCAGACCCACAGTCTCACACACAGACCTACAGTCTCACACACACACCCACATGCACAGGCACACACATTCATGGTCACACATACACATGTTCACACACGCACAAACACACTCTCAAACACATCATGTGTGTGCACTCGCATACATAATGCACTACTTGTGTACACGACCTGCTATGTGCTCCTCGGATGCATATCACATTCAACAACAACGCCTTACACTTACACAGGGCCTTTTATAAGGTTGGCACCCGAGCTGTGGGTTGGGATCAGGAGGGGTGGCGGGCAGGGAGACTAAGGGGTAGGAGGGTGACCGAAGGCATGGCTGAAGAGGAGGGTCTTGTGACGTGCCTATAAGAAGGCAACGGAGGGAGAGATGTAGGTGCAAGACAGCAGCGTCTCATCACAGAGTCAAGTTTGTGGCCTCACATCTTGCATCACATAGTCCAGGCTGACAATCTAGTGCAGTGTTGGGAGAGCTTTACACTGTAAGAACATAAAACCACGGTCCCATCTGGGCCTGTTTGGGTGGACGTTAAAGATAATAATAATAATCCTTGTATTTGATACAGTGCCTTATCACATCTTCGAGACATCTCAAAGCGCTTCACAGAATATACTGTAAAGTGAATTGATTGTATATTTTGTGGGGCCAAACGTGACAGCCAATTGTGCAAAGCAGTGTCCCACAAACAGTCGTGGATTAAAGTGACTAATTTATTACTGTTAAGGGTCTATTACTCCCAGAAAAGCGAGTTGTGCGGAGTAAGAAAACTTGCCTATCGTTTCACGCTGTCCGTAATCGAACCACAGTCCTCTCACTTGCGAGGCAAGTTCTCTAACCACTAAGTTGCAGGACTCCACAGGCGCTACTGAAAAATAGATGGCAGTTTATCCCAATCTCATGGTTAACAATCCCTAGAGATGACACTGGTGACTGACTCCATGGTTATGAGTCAGAGGAGGATGTTATGTTGGCCACAATACACACAGACAAACATTGTACAGTAAATGATGTGAAGCAGTTTGAGACAGTTTGACATGTGAAAAGGGCTGATACCCAAAGTATTACTGTTCCACATTGGCAGCTCCGAGTCTGACACGACAGACATTAAGTGTTATGTTGAGCACAGTGTCGCTCAGTGTCGCTCAGTGTGTGGGAGAAACTTGGACTGTGAATTAATCCTCACCCACGTGTCACTCTCGTTGTAAAAGGCTTTAGACGGGTTCAGGAGGAGCGGATGGACTGAGATCTCACCTGAATGACACGTCCCCAAAGACATCAGATTCAAATCAATCCACAAATGATCTCCTCTCCAACAGCGCCGAGACATTAGCTCTTCAGTCCAGATGTCAACAAACAGCCCAGACCAGAAGCAATCCAGATGTGTATCTGCATATCTGACAGGTCGGCAGTCTGACTGGTTTTGTCCTCACACACCCCGGGCGGGGGGTCGGGGCTGAGGGTTAGGGTGGGGATCGGGGCTGAGGCTGAGGGTCGGGGGATCGGGGCTGAGGCTGAGGGTCGGGGGGTCGGGGCTGAGGCTGAGGGTCGGGGGGTCGGGGCTGAGGCTGAGGGTCGGGGGGTCGGGGCTGAGGCTGAGGGTCGGGGGTCGGGGCTGAGGCTGAGGGTCGGGGGTCGGGGCTGAGGCTGAGGGTCGGGGGATCGGGGCTGAGGCTGAGGGTCGGGGGGTCGGGGCTGAGGCTGAGGGTCGGGGGTCGGGGCTGAGGCTGAGGGTCGGGGCTGAGACTGAGGGTCGGGGCTGAGACTGAGGGTCGGGGTGGGGATGGTGGTGGGGGTCGGGGCTGAGGGTCGAGGCTGGGGGTCAGGGCTGGGGGTGGTGGTGGGGGTCGGGGCTGAGGGTCGAGGCTGGGGGTCAGGGCTGGGGGTGGTGGTGGGGGTCGGGGCTGAGGGTCGAGGCTGGGGGTCAGGGCTGCTGCTGCTGCTGCTGGTGGTGGTGGTGGTGGGGGGGTGGGGGGGGGGTCGGGAGTCGGTGATGACTGTAAAGTTGGGGAATTTCCTGCAGTTTTATACCGCGACGATCCTCAGCAAAAGGCCCTGTGATTGGTCTCCAGGTCTGAGGAGGCGGAGCCTCAGCTTCACAGGAGCCCCTCCCCTTCTCACACAGCCCCTCCCCAACCCACATAGCCACTCCCCACCCACATAGCCCCGCCCCCTCACACACAGCCCCTCCCCCACCTACATAGCCCCTCCCCTAACCACATAGCCCCTCCCTCTCACACACACGCCTCCCCCACCCACACAGCCCCTCCCCCTCACACACAGCCCCTCCCCCACCTACATAGCCCCTCCCCTAACCACATAGTCCCTCCCTCATCCACATAGCCCCTCCCCCACCCACGCAGCCCCTCCACTCACACACAGCCCCGCTCCCTCTTATACAGCCCCTCCCCCACCCACACAGCCCCTCCCCCACCCACACAGCCCCTCCCCCTCACACACAGCCCCGCCCCCTCACACACAGCCCCTCCCCCACCCAGACAGCCCCTCCCCCACCCACACAGACCTTCCCCACACACAGCCCCTCCCCCTCTCACACAGCCCTCCCCCTCTCACACAGCCCCGCCCCCCTCACACAGCCCCTCCCTCTCTCAAACAGCCTCGTCCACTCTTGCACAGCCCCTCCCACACTTGCATATCCCCTCCCACTCTTGCACAGCCCCTCCCCCACTTACAGAGCCCCACCCCTTCCACCCAACCCCTCCCCCTCTCACACAGCCCCTCTACATCTCACGTTGCTCCTCCTCTATTCGCACAGCCCCTTCTCCCTCTCACACATCCCCTCCATCAGACTGAGGTGAAGTCAAGTGTTGATCTTTAATTTACTACCAAAAAATGCGAGAGTCTGGCTCCACCCACCCCAGCCCGGCTCCACCCACCCCAGCCCGGCTCCACCCATCCCAGCCCGGCTCCACCCACCCCAGCCCGGCTCCACCCACCCCAGCCCGGCTCCACCCACCCCAGCCCGGCTCCACCCACCCCAGCCCGGCTCCACCCACCCCAGCCCGGCTCCACCCACCCCAGCCCGGCTCCACCCACCCCAGCCCGGCTCCACCCACCCCAGCCCGGCTCCACCCACCCCAGCCCGGCTCCACCCACCCCAGCCCGGCTCCACCCACCCCAGCCCGGCTCCACCCACCCCAGCCCGGCTCCACCCACCCCAGCCCGGCTCCACCCACCCCAGCCCGGCTCCA